GAAAGAAAAGAGTACTGATGAGACCGATTCATTCAGAGTCGCTGAGGACATTTTTATAACCTAGAAATGATCCAGTTTACGTCCATGAGCACGCGACCGATCGAATGGACGGATGATCCACGGACCTTTGTTGATTCAGTTATTTGTTTTGCCAAAAAGATTAATAATAATAATTTTTCATTAAATAATAAAGATGCAGATAGTTCAGTTCAGTTCAGTTTATTCGAACAACAAAACAATATAAGATGTGTAAATACAACACAACACAATGAATACATAAACCATAATAAATTGTTCGAAAAGATAAATAGAAATAAACAGTTCTCAGATAAGATCGGAGGTGTATGAAATAAGATAATGCAGTCACTATGTTAAATTAATTCATTAACTTTATTTTAATCAAAAACATCATATCATCATAAGATTTTGGTTGTTTATGCAAATTGTCTCAAGTGCCACCTGGTGGTTGTCCGGGTACATTGCAGTTTTTTTTTAATAAAAAAAAACTGGCCTCAGGAAATACATCGTGATTCACGCAGGAATAATGCAGGAAACCGTCCATTTCCAACAGGTACCCACTGTATGGGGAGTGTTGGCTTTTAAGTAATATAACAATAAAAATAGAGAAAAAATTACTTCTGCATCTTAACCAATCCCCTTACGAAGCAGTAGGCTGCCATTTTGCGGCACCTCAGGAGCAATCAGTTGGTGAGGGTCTTGCTATGGTGCAAGAGTGCAGGTTGTGGGGACTTGCAACCCTCTCAGAGGCTTAGTGGTCAGAGCAATGCTCTAAGAAGGTTGCAAGTTTTTTTTTTTCTGAGGTGTACTTGATTTTTGGTTCTCAGTATTTTATCTTTTTGGACTTTGCTTCAGTTACCCTTGGGAACCTTATTTAATCAAGAAAACTCACCTCTGCCTCCTCATATCTTCATTTGGGACCTTAAAAAACCTCCACACAACCTTGACATTATTATGTTGTATTGTATCTATAAGGCTTACAAAGTTCCTTTTTGATAAAGCTTGTTTATAGTTACCATGGCTTAGGTTATCCTGCGACATCTCTTTATTTATGCTGCTATACAAAACAATCCTTAAGAAATATAATAAGTCCTAACCCAGAAAATGACCCTTTACCACTAAAAGTGAAGCCCAAGGAGAATGAAAGAGTCTGGTTAGATTTGTGTGGAAACATGCCCTCGACTCTGAATAATGGAAATTATATAAAATGTATACTTTTATAAATGTCTGTAGAAGCAGTCAAAATGTAAGGAGTTAGGGTTTATTTTTACCTGTGTACACTTTGCACCTGTTCAAATCACCAAATTTAATTATTTGGACGGATGACCCAATACTTTTGGTACATGAGCGATATTAGCTAAACGCTTATGAAATTGTATCTTTGTTGATTAACTACACTGAAATAAAAGTAACTATCTGACATTATGTCTCAAAACTACAATGCACGTATTGTGGAAACTTTCAAGACAAAAATAGGGTAGCATAAATCTCAGATTTCTGTAAATCCAAAAAAGAAAATTAAAAGCAGTCCACTGGACTTTGTTTCCAAGTTTGAAGACGTTATGCTTCCCATCCAAGAGGCTTTTTTTAATTTAAAAATATCAGGAATAGCGTTGAGTTTGATGTTTTATACAGTAGTACAACAAAGCCTTGTTTTTGTTTTTTTTAGCCTGCAACACCCCATACTGTCAGGGTTTGGTTGAGGTTTGAGGACCCAAATGCAGAGGTAGGGAGGCAGAGGTGAGTTTTTGTAGATTTATTGAAATTTTCACAAACAATTGAGGCAGGAATCCAAAAATCCAACATAAAAAATGTAAAACAAACCAGAACCATGGAGACATCAGGTGAAAACAATCACAAGGAGCTGGGGTAAGAAGAGATAAGACGAAGAAAGAAAAGGGACCAGCACTGAGGAACTGCACAAGGAGAGTATTTACGGTAGACTGAACAAAGAGAGGACTAAAGAGCAGATGTGAAGAGAGCAGTCTAGGAAGGAGCTAGGGAAAAGGAGATCAACACAAGAGGGCAACAAATAAAAACCTAAGAACTCAAATATATCCAGAAAATACAACATAGGAATAAACCATTAAAACTAGAAAACATGGAGAAAAATAAAACTGAATACTCAAAAGAAAACATAACAGAACCAAGACCGTGACATATACCTGTCTAAGTGTCTGAAAGGTCAGTCGTTAAAGGGAATTGTTGGCCTAGCTGAATAGGCTACAGTTCTCGGCTCTGCTGTACAGGGGCTTGGGCTGCGATAATTTTGGGAAGGGATTAACTCAATTGCTGCATTGTAGGTCAAGATTTCTGTAAATATTTAAATAATGCTTAACCAAGACTCCCAAACACAGTAATTCACAGATTGGTGGTGAACAAGCCCAATTTCAGACCTTACTTATGCACTCAAAATTTATAGAACTTTTCTTTCAAATTTTAAGTTTATTTGTTTTTTGTTTGAATTGTCTTAAATTAGTGGTTTTTCTTGCTGTTTGGTTTCCAGGACTCTTTCTTTCCTTTAAGTCTTGCTCTGTTCTCTGAACACCATGGCTTCTAACTGCAGACTTACCCTGCAAAACATAACAGACCATCCCTAGAGATGTCAATGTGAGCCTTTTCACAGGCAATCAGACCAAGAGCTCTCAACATCACAACCACCCAATGCCCATTCCACACTGACGTGAGGATCCATGCAGATTTGCTATAAATAGAGCTTGTACATGGTGCCTTTTAGTGTTTTTAATCACAGATCTGAATGAAACCCAAAATCCACGTTTGGATTATATAGAGCAGGAAAAAAAACATATGATTTTTAAATAAAACATGTATCAGAGTAGGACCAGTTTAGAAAAAGGTTCTGTCACCTCTAAGTTTATGATTCAGACATTTTACCTGTTAAGTTTTTTTTTTATTGCAAAAGAAAAAAAAACAAGAACAACAAACTCTTGTTTAAAACTACTGTACTATTTTTTTGCTAAGGTAGCTTAATTTCTATTTGACTGTAAATCCTCATATCTTAGTCAGTTAGATAACATGCTGCTGTCATTTTGAACATCTCTGATGTTGCTTCTATTTTTATATATCTATTGCTGTAAAAATGTCCATAGATGTATTGTATATTGGTTATTTATTCTCCAGGTATTCCAAAAAAGTAAAAAAAAAACAATCCACTGGACTTTGTTTCCAACTTTGGAGACATTTTGTTTCCCATCCAAGTAGCTTTTTCAATTCAAAATGTCAGAAATAGTGTTGGTTCAAGCAAAACAAACTGGAAGCCATTTGACTGTCACTGAACAGCACAATGAAAACATTTTATATACGCCCACTGACTGAGTACAAGATTGTAAACACCTGTGACTCTAATTAGTGGAGTCATCTCCAAATGTCCCTTTGGTCACGTTATTATCAGTGTTTTCTAGGGGTACCATTTTTGCATAAGCACTATTTCTCAGTTTTCCCAAAATCTTATCTTCTTCCATTATCTTCTTTATAGGATCCACATTCTATAACCTGTATACAGCCTAGCTGGTTTTGTTTTTAGTGGTTGTTTATTTGTGCTGATGTAATCAAGCTAAATCACTGTAATGTAGTTGTAATGTGACTTCATAAATCAGTGTTGAGATATAAGCACGAGCCTTGCCCTTTCACCATTAATACCTATTTACCAACTGTGGGTACAAACAATGCCTGCAGCAACTGATTGCAGATTCAGAGACACCATTTTCACCTCACCTTTTCCATTTCCACATGATTCACAAGGCTTGGGGTTATAACAATGTGGTTTATGAACATTAGCCATATATGCTTCACAGAAGTAGCTTTATTAAAATTATTTCTGGGTTTTAAGATAATCTGAAAGCTATATGTTTTATAACCATGACTCAGTAATAAAAACAAGACTTAATGCATATAATCCTACAAAAAACAACAACTTTACGACAGGTTTAAGTCAAACATTTAAAGAAAGCACTTGTACTACTTTTACTAAATCATTGTTATCATCATCATGTACAGTTTTGTTCAACACATTAAAATTCCAGGTTTCACATCTTATAGGAAAGGCCATAACAAACACAGATACTTACATTCAGCTTTAAAGTAATCTATCCATGTTATCAACAGTAGGAATCAAAACTTTAAGATAAGGCAGTAACTAATTGTATGTAATTTTTAATTTATAGATTTTTTTATATTCAAATATCCACCATTAAACAAACAAACACAAATTGGCTGACTGGATTTTTTTTGCAGAATGTTGCTATGACAATAAGTGGAACATCCCTCCATCCATCGGTCCATCCATCTTCTTATGCTAATCGGGGGTCGGGTCGCAGCTAGCAGCTTCAGTAAGGAGACCTAAGACGTTTCTCTTCCCAGCAACTTGGGCCAACCCTTCCCCTGGAGTTCCCCTCACTGAGTTCCCAGGCCAGCCGAGAAACATAATCCCAGGCCTAACCAGATGACGGAGCCACCTCAGCTGGCTCCTCTCGACGTGGAGGAGCAGCGGTTTTTCTCTCAGTCCTTCCCAGATGACTGAGCTACTGAATGTGTGGATTGATGACTGAAAGACATGCCTCCATTTATCTGTTTTCTACAGTGTGTTGAATTCATGTTAATGTGGATTTAAAGATATTTAAAGTAGTGAAAAAACTTGAAAGGGGGAACATAAAAAAAATGTCCAATCAACCAAAACTTTACGACCCCCATCCAGTACGTCCAAGGACCCCCATCCAGTACGTCCAAGGACCCCCTGGGGATCGCGGACCCCTGTTGCTGACCTCTGCTTTAGAAGTCATATTCTCCAGAAGTCTTCAAAATATTGTAAAATATCTGTGAATTTGTACAATTCCCAAACCAGCTCTCAAATGTGAATGTATATCTTGCATCAAATTTGTCTTCAGTCCCATTTTGTAATGTTTCTTTTACATTTTAACCTAATCAACATGTTTTTTTGTTTTTTGTTTTTAATGAAAAAACAGATACACCAAGCTAAAGACTGCTACAAACATCTACATCTTTAACCTGGCCTTAGCTGATGCCCTGGCCACCAGCACACTGCCATTCCAGAGTGCAAAGTACCTCATGAACACCTGGCCTTTTGGGGAAGTCCTGTGCAAGCTCATCATCGCCATTGACTACTACAACATGTTCACAAGTATCTTCACACTAACTATGATGAGTGTGGACCGCTACATTGCTGTGTGCCATCCTGTAAAGGCATTGGGCTTCCGGACGCCAACCAAGGCAAAGATGATCAACGTCTTGATCTGGGTTTTATCGTCTGCTGTTGGTGTGCCAATTATGGTTATTGCTGTGACCAGAATGACAGAAACCGGTAAGATGGTAGTCTACTTCACCTGACTAGCACGGCATCCACAGTAAAAGACAATATAGTTTTCTCTATGTATTAGTTAATAATACTTTAAAGTGATTTGATTAGATTTTTTGTTCATAAAGATAAATACATATGCGCTTGAATGTTCCCAGTAAAGGAGATGATAAATTCACAGTTGAAATGGCAAAAAGTTTAAAAAAGTTATGATAAACAAAATGTACCTGTATAATGTATAATATAGATAAGATATTATTTTTGAATTTCTTTCTAAAAAATATTCTAAAAAATAAACTGTCCCAGACAAATTAACATATCTTACAGTGAACAACATACAACAGGTGCAGAAGTCTTAATAAACATTTACTGAACCTTAGAAAAAACTGCTGCTTTCGGTGATGCCTTAAAATGTAGCTCAAGAAACTTTTAGATCAGGAGCTCCATCATTTTTGTTTACTTGATATATACAGACAGACGGACGGCCGGCAGACAGACACTGAGTTTTGGCTTTTTTTATAGGCCATAACTTATTTCTACTCTAGACTAGATAAGCTATTTACAGAGTCTAGGACTGTTGTAGTTAATTTAGGTAAACAGGTCTAAGGCCACCTTTTCTTATATGGTGTGTCTCATTTGCACAACAATTAGATGGTTTGTGGTGATTTTGCATTACTTTGTTGTAGGGTTGTCACGATACTAAACTTTTCAACTCGATACCGATACTAAGGAAAATATTCAATACTCGATACCATTTTCGATACCACAAGGATAAAATTTCAACAGAAATATTTTTATTAATAATTAAAACACAATAAATAAATACAATAAACAATAAGAACAACATTTTGAGGTTGTTTGCTGTGCACAATATTTAGCAAGCTTGATAAAAAACTTAAAAAAATTAACCAAAGTTTTCCTTCCTTGGCTATGCTTTGCACACATAACAATGACACTAGCCAAACCGGTTAAGAAACAAAAATAATTCTCAGCAGCTGCAACTGTTACAAAAAAATTCTGAAACTGAAAAGTGCACAGAATTATTCAATCACAGTGTTCAGAAAGTGCATTTTCCACTATTCTGCACTTTAGATGAATGACTGTTTAGGTGCGACTGGTACTCGATACTTTTGAAAATGAGTATTGTATCCGGATACAACATTTCAGTATCGATACTTTTTTGAGTTTCGATACTTTTGACAACCCTACTTTGTTGTGCACTGTTTTATACTTTCTACCAAATGTCCTTCTTATGCTGTATCAGACCTTAACTATATTATTTACTTTGTTTTATATCATTTACTTTCTTTATATAAAAAAAACAAGGTCAAATACCCACTATGGTTGGTTTCTTAGTCAAAGGTTCTGCTCTGTATCTTATTGGATGAAACGGTAATTAAATAAGATGGGGTTAAAAACAAATCCATGCGTTTGGCTGTGATAGTGAGATGACAGTGTTGATCTTCACGGGTGAGAAAGAGAGAGAGAGAACCTCTTATTTTTAATGTGTCTGGGCATGCACACAATCTTACTGAGTATACTGAGGACCACTTTGAGCAACACAGTGTGCATGCCGTCCTCACACACATATACTAAACTTGTCATGATTTTCTTTTCGGAATGTTTGGCACACATGCAGAAAACTCTCAGGAAACAATTAAAAGTTTATTGAGTTTTTTTTCTTTTCACTTAACAGTTGTAGACGTCTGTTGGTGCACCTAACTTTCCTCCACTAGGTGGCAGCAAGCAACCTGGAAACTGTTTCCAGGAAGGAGACTGGATCTCTTAGTTGAACACAGTTAATATTTAAAAGTAAAGTAAACTACACATTTTATTAAACATATTCATCCAGATTACAACTCTTAAATGAATTATAAAACTAATTTTATAGTTCTATTTGAGCCTGGGATTGAATAGCAGATAATGAAGAATAGCTGATTTTCAGTTCAGTTTTCTGTCAGATGAGCATACCCCATCAGACCAGAATACCTATAAGCAATCCGCATGTGCAAATCATCAGATTTGCATTTATCCCTTCAGTTTTGTACAAAAACTTGACTTTAAACTACCTCAGCAGGCGAGTATTCCTTTAATCATGTAAAAAAAATAAAATAACAATTTAAGGTGAGATCACCATACGCTTCAAAAAACACCAAAAAGTAAGTAATTAAATTGTTTTTTGTACATGACTAAATGGATACACACCAGTTGAGGTAGTCTAAAGTCTATTTTTCATGCAAAATTAAAGGGATAAATTAAATGGATAAAAGGGGATAAACTAAAGGGATAAACTAAAGGGATTAACAGGTATGGATATGCTGGTCTGACCCGGTATGCTGATCTGACAGAACAGCGGCTGGCATTTCCAGCATCCACCCAGTTCTCCATTAGCTGTGTCAGAAGTCTCAGCAACCAACCACATTCTGGTGAAATTTGATTTGCACCCCTGCTTTGTTTAGTTAGATTTAAATTTGATTAAGATTATAATTGACAAAATTGGACTGATGTTGTTAAAATATAATCAGAAACAAACTGTACCTATTTATTATATAGAATGCTTTAAGATAATGGAAAGATAATACCTGTAATCCTTTTTGGTATACTGTATGTGACCAGCAGCCTTGGAACAGTCTACCAAACTCTTTATATCTTCTCTTCTAGGTAACATTACATGTATGTTAAAATTTCCTGATCCTGACTGGTACTGGGACACCGTGACTAAGATCAGCGTGTTCATCTTTGCCTTTGTGGTTCCTGTGATGGTCATCACAGTTTGTTATGGTCTGATGATCCTTCGTCTGAGGAGTGTTCGTCTGCTCTCGGGCTCAAAGGAGAAAGACCGTAACATGCGACGAATCACCCGCATGGTCCTGGTTGTAGTGGCAGCCTTTATTATCTGTTGGACCCCCATTCACATTTTTATAATCGTGAGGACAATCGTGGACATCAACACCAGGAATCCATTCGTAATAGCTAGCTGGCACTTGTGCATTGCCTTGGGTTACACCAACAGTAGCCTAAATCCTGTCCTGTATGCATTTCTGGATGAAAATTTCAAGCGATGCTTCAAGGATTTCTGTCTGCCATGTCAAACGCACATGGAGCAGAACAGTTTGACAAGCGCCCGCAACACCACAAGGGAGCCAGTGTCCGTCTGTGGTCCTACAGAGGCAGGAAGGAAGCCTGCATGACTAGCAATGGAGAGGATCCCCAAAAGCTCGAGGATCCACCAAGACCCACAATCACAGGAAACTTTAATCTCGACAACAGAGTTCTGAGGGACTATAACACTGAGCAACATTGTAAAGGTACTGATTGTCCTCAATGAGGGTGAACTCAATGTAATTTTGAGCCTTTCTAAAAAGCTGATGTTGTTCCATGCAAACACAGAGATTTTATGACAATTTCCAAAGCAAAGGATTATGCCGAATAATTATGAAACTGAGTCTTTTCAGTTTTTGGCACAAAGAAGGACAGGAAAGAGTTTTTCAAGAAAACAGCGAATGCCAATACTCTTGGAGAGAAAACTTCATATTGTGGCTTCTGCAGAAAAGCAACCATATCAGAAGAAAAACATTTTTCTTATTTTTTGGCTTCAACAAATAAAATTAGAAACTCACAAACTTACAAACCGACTATGAATTGTGATGTATCATTTTCTTCTGCAGTTTTTCTTTTTTTAAAGAAAGGAAGCCACAAAGAACTGTGTTGGAGGAGAACAAGTAATTAGTGTTGTTATGATTAACAATGTAATCGCAATTTACTGGATTTTAGTGTGGCTTAAAAGAATAGAAAGTTAATGAAGCATTCCATGCTTGGATTACTATTAGTTTATATTGGAATACATGCTTTCTCTTTCTTACTGTGTTTGTAAGATCAAAACAACAATGGATGAATGTAATGTACTCAGTGAATTCACAACAATAGATAACAAATCTCCAAAAAGTCTCGCCTAATAACTATGTGGAATGTTTACTAGGCATTGGGACAGATTCAGTAAGTGGTGACTAACTCTTTGAAAATTAACCCCCCTTAAGTCATTATCACATGAAACCAACTTTAAAAACCTTCATGAAAGCCAAAATGATGATAATAAATATGACAAGATTCTGCTTCATCAATGATGATTAATAACACATGTCAGATCAAGATCAAATGTGGGTTTTTTTTCAGGAATGTAAGGTTATACCTAGGGCTGCAACAACGAATCGATAAAATCGATAAAAATCGACTTTTAAAAGTGTTGGCAACGAATTTAATGATCGATTAGTTGTGTCGCGCGATTAATGTGTCATCCGCCGCCGCCGTCATCAC